TGTGGGCGCGACACCGAGGGTTGCGATCCCGTTGCCGGTCCCCGGTGTGGGCGCGACACCAAGGGTTGCGATCCCATTGCTGGTCCCCGGTGTGGGCGCGACACCGAGGGTTGCGATCCCGTTGCCGGTCAGTAAAAAAGACAAAAAAAGAAAAAAAAAAAAAAAGAAAATCTGAAAGAAAATAATTACAACCCAGAATTCTATATTCAACCAAACTATTAACAAGTAAGAGGGTAAAATGAAGACATTTTCAGGCCTACAAGGTCATGAAAAGTCAACAACCCACATACCTTTTCTCAGGAAGAAGTAGCAAAAAAAGGGAACAAATAAAGGAGGAGGAAGGCATAAGACACTGGGAAAAGGGCCCCAGCCCAGATCACAGGCAGGGAACACACCCTAGGTGCTGGTGAAGGGGCATCACATCTCTGGACTGAGGGTACAAGCTGTTAGTTCACAATGGGACAAGTCATGTGCTCCAAGATGCAAGAGGAACTGAGAGAACTCTTGATACATCCAATAACACTAAGGGTGGATTTCAACTGCTGTTGGAGATGCTGCAGCTAAATTAGCAGTGAACACATAGGAAACCAAGCAAATAAAAAGAAAAAAAAGCACAATATTAACTTTAGAGGAAACAAATAGTTGTGAAGGAAATGAAAGACGATCCTAGAACACAGCATGGCTCCCCCTGTCAGCAGTGTTTAGAGAGCCCTAAAAACTAATGACTAGAATGACACTGTTCCTTTATTAGCAGGATATGGGGATGGGAAGTATGCATGTGTGTGGCAGGACAGGGAATGAAAGACAGCTAAATCATCATCTTCCATAAAGGATGTCATTAGAGAATGCCTAAAACAGAACAATCAAGAAGCAACATAGCATGTTATACAGAGATATCCAGGCCAGTACACACCGAAAGAATCAGCTAAAAGAACTGAACAGAAATGGTCAGAGGCAAGGGCAGAGCAGCCAGGGCGCAGAACTGCTGTCTTTATAACAAGCTTCGCAGAGCTATATGACACCTTACACTATGTGTCCTGTAATTTTTTTTTCAAAAGAATAAGAAACAATATTAAGAGGCAAAATTTGAATTATCTTTTTATCCTTCAAATCTCACTTGAGTAATGATGTTTGAAATAAGCAAATTTTTTTCTAATAAATATTTTAGTTTGCTAACATTTTTCCATGTAGCTTAGTTAAAATTAATATTGCCTTCCAATGAGAAGAATGCCTTTACCTGTGATAGTAGCTCTTCCTTTTCTTCAGCAAGTTTTCGTAGCCTTACATCTAAAACAAATGAAACAGGTTGTAAACTAAATTTGGGGTGATGCAGAATATAAACAATTAAAAATAATTCTTCAAACTCATACATAGCAAACATTAGCTCATAAGTTACATTACTTACAGCTGTGAATATCAAAAGAAATAAAGGCTTTAATAGTATTACGGAAAAGAACTTAATTATCCAAAACGTATTTCCACACAACTGATATTTATCAAGCCACCAAATACAACATTTGCTCCCAAAAGCTGTGATTTCTCCTCTTAAAAACAACCTGAAGAGGGCCGGCCCGTGGCTCACTTGGGAGAGAGTGATGCTGACGACACCAAGTCAAGGGTTAAGATCCCCTTACCGGTCATCTTTTAAAAAAAAAAAAAAAAAAAAAAAACAAGGAAATGATCTCCTTTTTTCTTCAGTTTTTTTGTGGTTGTTTTTTTTTTTTTTTTTTTTTTTTTTTTTTTTTGTCTTTTTTCGTGACCGGCAACGGGATCGCAACCCTCAGTGTTGCCCCCGCTCCTCGCTCAGCCAGTGAGCGGCTGGTCTGTATGTGGGATCCGAACCCTCGGCGGGAGCGCTGCCGCGCTTCCCAAGCGGCGCACTGTAGCAGTGCGCCACCGGGCCGGCCCACCCTTGTTTCAAAAATTTGCAAGGTTTCACCACTAGACAACTCAAATGCTAAGGGTGCTCCCACAGGCTTAAGCCCTTAGCAGGAGAGATCAAAATGTATGAAAAAAAAAGTGGGTAGGAGCGGGACTGGGCAGGGGGAAGCTGGAGCAAAGAAAATAGAGGAACACAATGCTGAAAGAAGCAAAGTCGTACAAAAGCTAGTGCGGGGAGGGGAAGGGAGCTGACTCTAAGATAGGGGCAGCCAAGAGTGAATCTGGGCTTGGTAGAAAGATTGTAGGATTTATTCCTGGCGTGTGGAGAGGGCTGCTTCTTTCCAAGCCTGCATTAAAATAGGCTCCTTGGACTGAGGAGATATCCATTGTTCAGTTAAAGCAGCAACTGAAATCTGGCCAACCACTCCCCACAACCAACCAGGGTCACAGCCAAATGCAAGTTCTGGTTTCTTCAGCACCTTCCAAACAGCAGAAGAAACACCCTGAGCTGCCCAGAGCCATATACTCATTCCATTCTCTAGAAATTCTCTATCGCTCACCTGGCATCCTCTGCTTTATCAAAGTGCACTACATTTCTGGAATTCTGCACACTATAGAATGTGCTTACTAAGTTTTAAAATATCTTTAAGATTGATACATTCTTTTTTTTTTTTTGCTTTTTTGTGACTGGTAAGGGGATCGCAACCCTTGGCTTGGTGTCGTCCGCACCGCGCTCAGCCAGTGAGCACACCGGTCATCCCTATATAGGATCCGAACCCGTGGCAGGAGCACCGCTGTGCTCCCAGTGCTGCACTCTCCCAAGTGAGCCACGGGGTCGGCCCAAGATTGCTACATTCTTACAGTATCTCCCACTCCCCTAGGAAACCTACAAATATATAAAAACAAGATAAAAAAAGGAAAATAAATTGCTTTTTAATAAATAAAAGTGCGCTGATGATATAATATGTATCTGTGCCATTTTTCTTCCTGTATAGTAGGATTCTTGGGGGGTGGGGAATGAATGAACCTTTGTGATTCCCCGGAGATTCTCAAAGAGTTAAATTTAAGAGGCTCAGAAGCCCTGCTCTGGAGGTCACACTCCTCTGGTATCTGTCTTCTTGATCACCTGTTTCTTGCCTTAAGAAATGTGACGGCAAAGAGCTACAGAGCCCTAGGATAAGTGTAGAACGTAAAACCAGATGTTCCAGGAAGAAGAAACTTAAAACATACTTGGGAAGTCTCTTACCAGTCCGTTGCTTCCCTAGGATGGGAGAGATGTGCCAAACTATCTCTGCAGAAAGTTTACAGGTAAGTGAAAAAAGCAATGTTTATATACCCACAGTACTTCTATCCAGAGGCCTTACAGTTACATTTACTGCCTTGCAATGACTCAGATGCTGGTTTCCCAAGGTCAAGATGTCTGAAGACAATGTGCCTAGATCCTTGCTGTTAAGGATCTACATAAGTCTCAGAGAGCCCTTATGTTATTTTTGTTTTCCAAGCAGGGATATGAACAAGCTGGAATCACAACAGGGCAACATTAATCCAAGTCAGCATAGCAACTAGTGTCTTACCTAGTGGCCCTTCTCCCGCTGACTCCAAGACCTGAGCAGCTTCCTGAGACACAACAGTAATGGCTCCAACCACTGGTTCATGACTGACATCACCATTGGGCGTGCCATCGGGGATTATAACTAAGCCATGTTTCTGTGAGAAGAAAAAAACCCACCATCAAAAAAGATGGCCCACATGGAAGCAGTAAGCTCTGTGAAGTAACTCTGCAACAATACATGTTTGCCACAGGTAAAACCTGGTTAGAATTAGTTATGTGGAACATAACTCTGTGGAAGAAATGACTTAGACCTACCAAATCTGGATTAGGGAATAAACACTGTTTTGAACTCACGCTAGGAAAGATGACAGGACAAAAGGAAGGCAGAGGGACCTGAGCTCCAGGCTACTGCTAACATACCTCTCCTGTCTTCACTGTGTCCTGCAGGTCAGCCAGCTCCTCTCTGAGCGTATCTCGCTCATTCCTAAGGCAGGCAATGTATTCTTTCTGTTTCTCTAGGGCCTGGTTTTAGGCAGGGTAGCGAGGGAAAGAATGGCACAGAAAAAGAGCAAGTGAAAGATAGCAGAGAAGTACCTAATTCAAATAAGCAAAGTTTATAAAGGCATAAAAAGCAAGGGATCAGTTAAAAGTGTGGAAACAAGCAGTCAGATACGGAAAGAAATACAAAGTTACATGGATATACATTTCCAGCAGAGAGTTTTAATAGAAACTGATTCTCATGCATAAATCCAGCAAAACATGCTTATCATATCAAGCAGGAAAATAAATCTTTCTTTTCCAGTCTATGAAAAAAACAGGAAAAGGAAGATGAAGACAAGCAGCAATAGTAAAATAAAGTTTCCTTTACTGATCTCCTCAGTACACTTTCACTTTGTGAACAAAAAAACACATTTCATATTTAACTAAAACAGATTATTCAAGAACATACTAGTTTTTTAAAAAATAAAAAAAAATAGTTCTGGAAGAAAAATAACTAGTATGTATAAGGTATTTTAATTAATTATTGGCTGTATAATTTCCTCTGTAATTCAAAATAGCTAATTTCCAAAAGGACCCTCAAGACTCTATTTCTGTTAATTTAATTAAATACAGTTAAGACTCATTTGGTTTTTTAATATACTTTCAAAATGTGAAAAACAAAAAATAAAATACTGACAATAAAAATATATAGTCCACCTATGGAGAACAGCAGAATACAGGTTTCAGAATCAGGCTTTTGGGTCCTGGTACATACTTAACTTACCTATTCCTCAGTTTCCTCATCTGAAAAACAGAAGGGATAATAGCAGCACCCATCCCTTGGGCAGAGGTTTAAAGGAGTTAGTGTAAAGCATTGCCTGCAGGGCCTAAGAGGACAGGGAAGGTTCAGGAAAAGCAGGCTGGTGTTTTCATTTGTAAATTCACTGCCGTTTCCTGAATCTTGCAACTGCCAGAGCTGAGGAGGACAGTACAAAAGCAGGAACATACTTCGGTCATCAGTGGCAAATCAAATCTACTATCACTATGTAATAAAATACTTCAAAACACACCCCTGTTAAGCAGTCTGTGCAGGAACCTCACAGCTAGGCTACTTGAAAAAGCCTTTCTCTACATATTTGTTCATATATTTAATGCTTTCTGCCAGCATTCCCACAAATCCAAGAAGTTAAACTACAACAGATAATTTTCCTCTCGGTTTATTGGATTTAGAAGTGGGACAACTGCTTAGTTACTGATGGCTGAATATTTGAACAATCTTTTAAATCATTACAATCCTACTGTGCAACCAAACTGGGAATAAGTAAATAAGAGATGACAACAACTATCATTTGTGTAGCACAAATTATGTGGCAGGCACTACTTTATATACGCATAATGTCCCTATATATGTTACTTTACATATGAAACTTCTCCCTTATATACCCTGTCATGTACTTGTCTTATCCCCATTTTACAGATCAGAAAACTGAAGCTCAGAGAGGTTGTATTTTTTGCCCAAAAGTCACAGTAAGTGGCAAAGTCTGAACATGAATCTAGTTCTTTTTGGTTGCAAAGCCCTTGGGTACAGCTTTTTATATCACAGCCCAAGAAGGCCATATTGTGTTCCCTTACTGAACAATCCTAGATGACAATCCTAGATGATGCTGGAAAAGTAGCCCATACGGCAAGTCCTAATCTTTACCTATGCAGACTTCAACGTAAATATCTAACTTCCTTTCAACAATTTACATTCACACCATATGATGTGTCTCAAGTCTGCATGTAAATTAATGATTTGAGTTTCTAGCTGCATAAGGCATTTACTCTAACCCTTCAAGCTAGTATTAACACTCATTAGAAAAAGCACAGCAATACCTTCCATCTGTTGATAGTCACTTTAATCTCTGCTGGGTTAAATAGCTTTGGTCATTGGTATCTGCATGCATCACCACATATAACTGAGTAAATGATCACTGTCGCAACATGCTCTATATAAACAACACCAATGAATATAAAAGACTTCTTAGGAACAGACCAATATGAAACTAGGAATTCTAGCAATTGCTAGTACATGACATTTGCTCCTTTTCCACATCTTACAATACTGGGTTTTATTTTTACTTTTGGACTTTTTAATTTTATCTTCCCATAATTATGGATGGGAAAATAAAATATATCCTGTAAATTTACCCATTTTACCACAAAAATTTGAAGATTACTGAAATACCTCATAATTGGACCAAATGTATTCTGAAATCCTCTGTATCACCTGGCCATATAACCAGTACCCTGTGTTTGCATGCAACAGTAGATTTTCTTTAGGGTAAAAAGTGCATGCTTTTAGAGATCTAAATAATTTTTTATTCCTGACCTAACCTCAAATTCTAGCACTAAGAAGGCAAAAAGATATGTATAATGGGCTGAACTTTTGGGGAAAAGGTTAATTCTCCATATAATTCCACTGGGGCACAAATATCTACAGTCAGAATGGGAGTAAGTTTATGTTGGGCTATAGAGATACACAAGTCCTTCGTATGCACCTATTCTACACATGGGCCCCTGGTGCTCGGAACTGCAGGGGAGCTAGAAGGAAGACCACTAAGTTCAATGAAGGCAGAACTGAAGAAAACTGAACTTGTACCTGGGAATAATGGACATGTTTCTTCATTAAGGTACTAAATTTAAATCTTGAAAATGAAGCTAGAGATAAGTGACACATTAGGTAGTTATCAACCACACTGAAAATATATCTTTTAAAAGTCAAAGGAGGACCACCTCGCCTGCATTAGAATGGCTACTATCAATAAAACAGAAAATAACAAGTGTTGATGGTAATGTGGAGAAATTGGAACTCGTGTGCAGTGCTGATAGAAATGTAAAATAGTACAGCTGCTATAGAAAACAGTATGGCTGTTCCTCAAAAAAATTAAACATAGAATTACTACATGATCCAGCAATTCTACTTCTGGGTATATACCTAAAACAAATGAAAGCAGTGTCTCAAAGAGAAATTTGTACACCCGTGTTCATAGCAGCATTATTCACAATAGCCAAAAGATGGAAGTAACCCAAGTGTCTATCAATGGATGAATGTGGTATATACATACAATAGAATATTATTCAGCCTTAAAAAGTAAGAACATTCTGGGGCCGGCCCGGTGGCGCACTCAGTAGAGTGCGGCGCTTGGGAGCACGGCGGCGCTCCTGCCGAGGGTTCAGATCCCATATAGAGACCGGTCCGCTCACTGGTTGAGCGCGGTACGGGCGCGACACTGAGGGTTGCGATCCCGTTACCGGTCACGAAAAAAGACAAAAAGGAAAAAAAAAAAAAAGTAAGAACATCTGACATGCTGCAATACTGACGAACCCTGAAGGCATTATGCTAAGTGTAAAATCAATCACAAAAGGACAAATACTGTGTAATTCCACTTATGTGAGGTACCTAGAGTAGCCAAATTTATAGAGACAGAAAGTAGAATGGTGGTTGCCAGGGGCTGAGGGGAGGAGGGAGCATGGGGATTTACTACTTAATAGGAACAGAGTCTCAGCTGGGCAAAATAAAAAAGTTCTGGAGATGGATGGTGGTGACAGCACAACAATGTGAATGTACTTAATGCCACTGAACTTTACACTTAAAATTGGTTAAAATGGTTAATTTTATGTTATTTGTATATTAGCATTATTTTTCAAATTCAAAGAGCCAAGGGGGGTATAAACTATTGATACACAGAACAACTCAGATAAATCTCCAGGGATTTATGCTGAGTATAAAAAGCTAATTCCAAAAGGTTATATACTGTATGATTCCATTTATATAACATTCTTAAAATGGCAAAATTATAGAAATGTAGAACAAATCAGTGGTTCGGGGCGGGGGTAGGTAGTAGATATGGCTATAAAAGGGCAAGAGGAGAGGTCCCTCATCATGATGGAAATGTTCTGTTTCTTGACTGGATCCAGGTCAATATCCTGGTTGTGATATTGTACTATAGTTTTGCAAGATGTCACGTATGAGGGAAACCAGGTAATGGGTATATAGGATCTCTCTGTATTATTCCTTGTAACTGCATGTGAATTCTAAAATGTTCTCAAAAAAAATTTTTTTTTAAGTTTTATTAACAAAATGCAAAGAAACACATTCTTAAATAAGACATAAAATAAAGACATCCACTTATTCACTCACTAAATGCTGAGACAGTTAAGCCAAAAAATTTGTATCATAACCATCAGCATACCTTTTTGGTAGCAAAAAAGTTTTGTTTTGAATAGCTATTTTATTGGACTGAGAGGTTTGGGGTTTTTCTATGACTGGTCCAGGATGATTGAAAAGACACACGGATGAAGGAGGCACGCGAGACCCGGGCTGACAGTTCACCAGAGAAGTTCCGCTTTATTCAAGGACTGCGCGTATATTTATAGGGAGCTGCGTTCAGGGTTTGGATAGGGGGTGGACGGGGCGGTAGCTGACTGGACGGGGCTGGGCAGGAAGTGAGCCTTGGACCTGTGACTGGTTGAGGTTTGGCGCCGGCGGGCTTCTACTGCGGAGAAGAACCCAGAAGGACGCCATATTGCCAGGGAGTGCCTTCCCCCTCCCCCTCCGCTTGAGTGCCCACGGTATCCCTACAATGATGAGTTTTAAATACTAAGCCAATTATACAAATTACAAATCCTGGACCTGCACACCTATGCTAAAGAAAATACATAAGGTCCTAAAACAAGCCCATTCTAGATAGAGACCAGATTTTAACTAAGTTTTACAAATTACCTACTTTGTGGTAATTTGGTAATGTGGTTCTTCAACGCGTTTATTAATGAGAGGGTTGGAATCCTTGGAGTGATGAAAAGGACTAGATACTTCTGACCTCTGGCTGCGCTTCAGAATGCCCCTAATAAAAGGAGGCCCCAAAGAGATTCACGTCCGTGCATGTCTCTCACAGGCTCTCAGGGATCTTTGCCAACTTTTCTTACCCCACCTAACCTCTTCCTCCACCATAGCTGTTCTCTGACAAGCTAAGGCTCTGGAAGCTACAGCTGAGTGGTTCCCCTACTGCAGAACAGACAGCTCATGCTAGGAGATGGGACTGCCAGTCCAAGTCCACCTGAGATGAACTGGTTGGAATTCTTTCAGTCTCCAGTGTACTTGGAATCTACCTTCAGGGCTTAGGGAAAAAACAATGAAGACTTTTTCCTTATCTGGGCCCCAGCTTTGAGGAGTTCTGGTGTTATAATTAGAGATGACCTCACAACTTGGCAACTCCAGCAAGTCTTACATTCCTATCCACTTCTGTAATTAAACTGATTTTAATCTCTTCCTATTTTATTCACCAAGGATTTATAGGATATTAATAACTTTTCCCTACTCCCACTCCCTATCTTCTTCTTATCCAAATTCTTGCAATGTAAGGATAGATATCAAGTTGCCCACAAAGTTTGAATTAAATGTGGCTGCTTCTGGATAAGAATCCTAGGGGAATAAAAAACAACTTCCTTTAAAAGTTCCTACTTGTGGGTTTCACAAGCCCAGAGTTGGTTGGAAAAAAAGAGTTCTTTCCAGGCGTAGTATCAGGTTTTCCCACGAAAGTCTTTCTGTCTCCTGCTTATCAAATTTCACACTGTATAAATGCTCAAGAATATTAAAAGGACAGATTTTTAGGACTCTCTAAGTTAAATTCGATTGGTCTATTCCTCATCTATGAGCTTCTAACCAAAACTCCATTTCATCTCATACCCCAATTTTTTTATCTTTCCAAAGAAGTGTCTCCTGGAGGTCAAACACCTCTTTTGTCATGGTGTCTACTTTCTGCTGCATGCGCTGATTCTCCTGCAGAGGAAGAGGGGAAGAAAGGAAGAGAAGTAATAAAAGGGAAGAAAGAAAAAAGGGAGAGGGTTAGAGAGAGGAAAATAGAACAAAAATAAAGCTGATAAAGAAATTTAACAAAATGGGAAAGTCTGTGATAAATAGGAAGAGCAAGAGTGGTTTCCAAAAGAAAAGATGACATCCAGAGTCTTAGCCACATGACTCTCACTGGGGGCTAGACATAACTGCTCCAACCACAGGTATGTGGAAGCAAACCATCTAGGGTCTCTATATACATACAGCTCTATATGTGCATTCTTCCTTTGATAACTGCCTTTTTTTCAAACATGGAACACTTTACATTTCTAAAGAGGGAAATTCAGGTTTCCTATGAACAAATGATCCTTTGGCATAAAGAACAAGTAGTAGTTTTGAATTTTATTTTTTTAAGCACAACTTAAAAAATACAAGACAGACATATCTTGGCTTGATCATTTTGAACTTGTTAGCAAACTCTAGGATAGCAAAAAAAGTCATGAATTTATAGGAAAAACCAGTTTTCAGAAAAAAATGAAATTTAACATTTAGCAACTCATAAGGAACTCTTCTGATTAGGCATTGATGCTCAATTTATACCCTCATACTTAACAGGCTTTCTTCTTATGCATTATTGGTAAATTATCATCTCCTACTTTTCCTACTCGTACATTACCTACTTTACTATGCAGTACTCAATTTTAAAGATGAAAAAGCATTATTTGTCATATTCAAGGTTTTTCAGTTGTGCATAACCATGGATACTAACATCTAAAGGATGTTAATTCTAAATATAAATAACACCTAAAACTAGGGTTTTAAAAGTTTGTATACCCAGCATCCTGGGCTTTTAAAGAAACCACAGTGACAAATTACAGATCAAGCATTACAATTCCTCTTAAATGCAATTAACTATTAAAAACCAGAACATTTAACCAATCCTAACTTAAGCTATTCAATTTGAGAAGTAGCCTCCAAAGCAGTTTTATAATTCATTGCAAGTATAAAAGGGAGAAAGCATATGTCTTAATTAGAAAAAGAAGAAGTAGTTGGCATATTGACACAAAAAGAAAAAAGAACAAAAAAGGAAAGGATTTCACATTATTTTTAAATACCAGCAAGATGCAAAATTTAGATAATATGCTTCCTACCATATATGGAAAAACTAAGAAAACTTAATGTCACATATAATCTGATAGCTCCAAAGGGTTATCTGTATCTGCATTTAGAATCCACAAATTCTGGTTATGTTCACTTCAATTATTCTTAAGAATGACTAAAAATAACACCAATGCACAAATAGAAAAATAGTCATCTCTCTTCTGTATTAAATGGCTTTGTAAGTCATTTACAGAGAGAGAGTAAGTTCGGCAGATCTGAGGGGGGAAAGAAAAGAGGAGAGAGGGAAAAAGAGAGGCTGGGTGACTGAGTAGTAGTACTGATGACACCCATGTAGTGTGGTATCATCAGTAGTACTGATGATACCACACCAGTAGGTGAGGTATCTCCTCTGGGATCATTAAGAGCTGGCCTTTCCTAATCATCAACATTAAATTAACATTAGATGCCCTTGATAACCACACATAGATCGTGGGCAGGATCCCCCTCAGACTGACTTCCATATTTATAAAAAACAACTTCAAGGGAAAAAAAACCACATTTAAAGAAGAACTGAGATGTATGCATGGTAGCAGGCCCTCAAGGATGATCAATGCTTTCAAAAAGTTCCTGGTGGACTACGCTCCTTCCCACTCCTAAGATGTTGCCAACAATGTGGCACACAGAGTTCTAGCGAAAACCTGATCCTCCACACTAGCCGATCTTCATCTTTTTGCATATAAGGTATGTTGGCAATTTTATCTTTTTCATTTAGCCACCTCAGAAGTGTATCTACCCGAGTGAAGACAAAACGGTATTCCTCAAGAATCATGTCCCAAAAGATGGCATTCACTACATTCAAAGAATAACATTACTCTATAATTTTCCTTTTTTTTTTTTTTTGTCTTTTTCCGTGTCCGGCAACGGATCGCAACCCTCAGTGTCGCCCCCGTACCGGACCGGGACCAGCAACGGGATCGCAACCCTCGGTGTCGCTCCCGCGCCTCGCTCAGCCAGTGAGCGGGAACCAGTCTGTATGTGGGATCCGAACCCTCAGTGGGAGTGCTGCCGCGCTTCCCAAGCAGCGCACTGTAGCAGTGCGCCACCGGGCCGGCCCTCTATAATTTTCCTTTTGGCCATTTCTTAATATATCTTTAGGAAAGAGTGTGCTTAGGAATAAAACACACTTATAAAAACTTCTGCTAATAAAGGGGGAAATGTTTATAGGGTTCATAGTATTAATTTTTTAAGCCTACCTTTACACGTTTCATGTTTGTAAAATTTTAGGATACAGCCAAATGCGAAGAGATAAGTAAACTCTTTGCAGCATTCAAACTCTCTTACCCTCCCAAAACACACCCTCATCTCATCCAATTTTTTCAAAATTGAGTGTTCCTACAGTTCATATACATACCTCAATAAGCTCATCTCTTTGCCGAAGGCCTTCTTTAAGTTCATCCATCTTATGCTGCAGCACGCTGCACATATGTTTCTGCCTTTCTAACTCCTGTTATTAAACAAATGATATCATTTACACGAGTTATGGTACATAACAAATTTGAATATATACAACACAGAGGCTAAATATGACCTCCAGAAATATGCCCAGACTACTGATTCATATAACTTAGAAAAATTGCATATTCTATGTAAAGGTTCAGAAAATTTTAAATTTTCATCTCATAATATTGATTATATATTTAGAAAAACCCATACTAATCAATGGCAAAATTACTACAAACAATGAGATGACTTAGTAAAGTAACAGGTTACAAAATTAAGATATGAAGTTCAAACCTTCATAGATACAAACAAAAACTAGAGAACATATAATGAAAACAATACCAAAATAAATAAAACCAACATTAAATAAAATATATACATGTAAACTTATATCAGAACTTATATGAGAAAAATTATATGAAACGCTCCTGAAAGACAGATAAACAGGATTGAATAAATGGAAAGGCATACCATCTTTTTGGATAAAAAAGTTTTTACACCATAAAAATGCCAGTTCTCCCTAAATTAATCTATACATTTAATGCAGTGCAAATAAAAATACATCAGGGTTTTTCTCCTCAGAGCAAGACAAGCTATTATAAAGTTTATTGGAAGAAAAACCACAAGAAAAAGTAGCCAGAAAAAAGCATATTGAAAAAGAAGCTAGCCTTACCATATATTAAAACATAAAGCCTCTATAATTACAACAATGTTGTAATGGCACATGAATACAACCAATGGAGCAGAACAGAAAATTCAGAAATAGACCTAATTACATATACATACGTACTAAACAATAACAACAAAAAGAGCATCTTGAATCAATGAGAAGACATATTTTTAAATTAATGATGTTGGAATAACTGGATACCTGCTCAGAAAAAGAAAATTGAAACCATATCTCACACCACACACAGGACAAATTCTAAATCGATCAGAGGTTTACATAAGAAAACAAAGGCTAAGAGGAGAAAGGGAGAAGAGGGAGGCAAATAGGAGGGAAACATAGAGAAGGGGAGAACAAATTATACAGTTACTAAAAGAAAAGATGAGTAACCAAGGAGTGGAGGAAACTTTACTAAAAAATAACTCAAAAATAAAGAAGCAAAAAAAAGGTGAAAGAGGCAATAAATTAGACAACAAAAAATTAAAACTTCTGAATGGCAAAAGATACCACAAGCAAAGTAAAAAGACAAATGACAAACTACAAAAAAATTTTTACAATTTATATCAGAGACAAAGGGTTACTATCTCTCCATATAGAGAACCTCCAAAATCAGAAAGAAAAAACACCAAATGTTAAAAAAAGGCTAAAGAAATGAACAGTTTACAGAAAAAGAAGTGGAAACAGCTCTGAATATGAAAAGAAGCTCTTATTAAGAGAAATGCAAACTAAAACCGTTTTCTCACCAAAACACTAGTTAAAGTCCAAAAACTTGATAACGTATTTTGCGAAATACTATGGAGAAGTGAACAGAAGTGAAAATGATATATGCAGACAAAGGGGAATTCAGCAATATCCTACAAAACTACATACCTTTCCACCCAGCAATCCCACTCTTATGATTCTTTATCATAGATACATTGGCAAAACTACAATGTTATTTTTTGCAAGACTAATTTTAACAGCAAAACACTGCAAACAACTTGAATGTCCATTAATAGGGAACTGGAATAAAGTGCAGTGCATCCACACAATGGAATAAATGCACAGCAGCGAAAAAGAATCAGGAAGATTTCTCTGTATTACAATCATAAAGTGATAAGATCAAGAGGCAGAAGGGCATTTTTAGTATGCTAACCATCTTCTAAGAAAGGAGGGATACAAATACATATTTTTGTATATTTTTTTTTGAATAGCTATATATTTTTTTAGATTAAAACATGGCTATAAACCATTAAATTAAAAAATTCCCAAAAGGAAAGAGGAAATAGGGATGAAGAGACAGAGATAGAAGATTAACTTCTTCAAATATATTTTCTTTGTTGATTTGGCTTAAGATCTACATGACTATTTTACATAATTGTAAAACAAAATTAAATTTAAAAAGCAATTACTAGTGGAAACAACCCAAGTGTCCATCAACAGATAAATGGATAAACAAAATGTAGTATACATACAGTGGAATATTATTCAGCCTTAAAAAGGAAGGAACTCTTGTGACATGCTACAACATAGATGAGTCTTTAGGACTAATCATGCTATGTGACTCATTATACTAAGTGACATAAGTCAGTCACAGAAAGACAAATATATGATTCTACTTACATGAGATACCTAGAATAATCAAATTCATAGAGACAGAGAGCAGAATGGTGGCTGCCAAGGGCTGGGGACAGGGAGAAATGGGGAACTGTTAAATGGGCACAGAGCTTTAGTTTTGCGAGATGAAAAATTTCTGGAGATCTGATGCACAACAATCTGAATATATTTAACACTACCGAGCTGTACACTTTAAAATGGTTAAGACAGTAAATTTTATGTGATGTTTTTTATAATTAAAAATAAAAAAAATTTTAATTAAAAAAGCAATTCCCAAATATCAAAAATAAAATGCAGTGTACCTCACTATATATCCAGTTAGTAGCATAAGCACACAGAGAGAAACTATTTCAAGTAACTTTGAAAAACAGTAGTTTGGCTATATATAGCCTAGTGGCAGAGATAACAGCCAAACAAAACAAAAAACTTCTAAAATTGTTTTCAGTAATTATATCATTGGTGTTAATGTTGGTATTGCTATTCTGGGTAATGTGGGATAAAGCAACAAGAACAGAATATAACATAATTACTATCATCCTCAGTGACTTTGAGAACTAGGAATTTGGGTGTGGGAAAAAGGAGACACAGATGTAAGAAAGAAGAGGTTAACTAAAAATTCTCGAGTCTTGAATATGAACTGAAACTATCAGAATGAACTCATATTTTGTCATTAAAACAAACAAAAAAATCTCCACATACATATTTTCCAGATATATCCACTGAAAAAGCCTATAAACAGTGGCAATGAACACTCCTAGCTCTCATATTGTTCCATTGAAAGAGAACTTGGGCTCCTCAAATAAATGACTGACTCCAGGTCTGGGGCAGAAAATGGACAAGATGAGACTGAAATATTTTCTTCTGCCAAAATGCAAAGAAGCTATCAAAAACAATTAGACTTGTTAAAAGTGCTTAGTAATCAAATTGAAGAGGCACATATTAGCCAAAGGTGGGACAATTTGAGCATCAAAAAGAATAAAAGCCGCAATGCACTGAAAACATCAAATGCTTGAATTTATGACTTCATAATGACATTTCAAAAAGAAAACAACAATTGTTCACTATGAGAGGATACTAAGCAACCAATTCCTTTTTATGAAAAGTCATAAATAAATACAAAACATCAAGCCCCTTATCTTGCTTTTCCCATGTAAACTGTCTCATCTGAGTAATAAGAGATGAGGAAGTTTCTCTTTAAAGATGAACTTAACCTAATAAATTAAGCATAGGAAAGTAAAAAGAAAACCCACAGAAGGGAGAAAATACTTGCAAATCACATATCTCATAAGAAACTTGTATCTAGAATATATAAAAACTCTTAACAACTCAATAATAAAATGATGAATAATCTAGTTAAAACATGGGCAAAGGATCTGAATAAACATTTCTCCAAGGAAGATACACAAATGGCAAATAAGCCCATGAAAACATGCTCAAAATCATTAGTCATCAAAGCCACACCCACTAGGATGGATAGAATAAGTCAGTTACCATATGACCCAGCAATTCCATTCTTAAGAAGACACTAAGAGAAAGAAAAACATATGTCCCACAAAAAATTATACACAAATATTTATAGTAACATTATTCATAACAACCAAAAAGAGGAAACAAATCAAAGTCCACCAATGCACAAATGGATAAACAAAATGTAACACACCCATACAATGGAATATTAATTGACCATAAGAAGGAATGAAGTACTGATATACACTACCACATAGATGAACCTTGAAAACACTATGCTAAGTGAAAGAAGCCAATCACAAAAGTCCATATTTTTCATGATTCCATTCATATGAAAGTCTAGAATAGGGAAATCTATAGAGACAGAAAGTAGGTCAGTGGTTATTTGGGACTGAGAGGTATAGGGATAAAAAGATGATAGGCAAAGGGGATAGGGTTTTGGGTTTTTTTTTTTTTGAGATAATGAAGATATTCTAAAAGTGATTGGATGTGATGGTTGCACATATATATGAAGACACTAAAAACCATTGAATTATACACTTTAAATGCATGAAATGTATGGTATGTGAATTATATCTCAATAAAGTTATTTAAAAATTATAAAAAAATGATAAAATCAGAATATCCCATTTTGCGACCCCTAATCAACTAAAAGACCTAAGTATCCAGGTACAGCATCATAAAGAGACAGCCACACATCTGGGCCTCCTGAAGGGAGAGAACTGCACCACCTATGAAGGAGACTTGCCAAAAAAGCCTAAGTTGATTTGATTAAGCTTCTATAACTACCTACCTATTTATAGGAAATACAGAGGGAAGGGGAACATGGTAAAGACAACATGAGGATGAAAACAACAAAATCTCTAAGACTGGGAAACTATTAAGACAATCCAGTTTTTTCAACATATAAATTCCAAGGGGAAAAAAAGATGCCTCTGGGCTCCACTGTCAAATGAGGGGGGTGCCACAGGCCTTGACCACGCCCCTCTTCCTCTTCCTCCCACCCTACCACCCTCCCCCATCCCCACTACCCTTCCCCCATCTGTTCTGCAACATCTTAGAATGTAAAAATAATAATAATTAATTAATTTAAAATTTTTTAAATAAAAAAGTAGGAGAGTGGATCTTAAGGGAAAAAAAACGAAAGAAAAAAAGAGACAAAAGGGAACCTATAAATTAAAAGAGACTTAAGAGACATATCAACTAATTTCAAGGTGTAAATATGAATCCTAATTTTTTTTAAGTGTAAAAAAGAAAACCATTTATGACATTTTGGAACTATTGAAATTTTAACAATGATTGGATATATAATATGAAGAAATTATTGTTAACTTTTCAGGTGTGAAATGGTCTTTTGATTATGTTTTTAAAAAAAGAGTCCGTATTGTCTAGAGAACCACAACAAAATTCACATTAAAAGATGGGATGCTTAATACTTGCTTCAATTATGGTAATAGTGGAAGTAGACAGGGCAAAATTGACCATGGGTTGATGGTAGTTGGAGGCAGGTGATAGGTTCAGGAGGGTTCATTATATTCCTCTGTCTACTTTTTCATATGTTTAAAATCTATAATAAAATATTTTTTTAAAATCTCAGATAAGCTAGTTCCCTATTAAAATGAATAGCTATTAAGAAAATAATACTTAAGATATTCCTACCCACGAATTCTGTCCCTGAAGTAGGCACAGACACAATGTTTAAGATACAGTTATTATAATTTCATAAGGAAGCACTAAAGACATTTTGAAAAATTTTATTAATATCTTTGTTGTTATTGAATGGCCCTTCTCTACTCTCGCTATCTGCTGGTATAATGAAATACACCAGAGTGCCTGACATCTTTGTGTATCTCTGAATATGAACATTCTACTGCATGAAGCAATATCTGTTTAGAATAAGAGAACTCAGGGTAAAATTATGTTAGAAAGAGACGCTATCACAAAGTTTTCTCCATCACGGTATATAATGTATTAAAAAAAAAGCTAGAGTATTTCCAGAGTATTAAAAAAAAAAGCTTACAGATTTTAAATTTGAAAAGCAAAGATTAAAAGAAATAAAACTCTATGCATAAGACATCTCTGTATCTTAGAAAATTTTGGAAGGGAAAGACTAAGTTGGTTAAAATAGTTAATCACAGGAGTTTTTTTACTTTTAAAAATGCTCAAGGACATTTGAGAAGGTGGAAAGATAACTCATAATAGTACCAACCATTAAATACTTAGCATGAGATTTTCTTCTAATCTGCTAGAAGCAAAGAGCCAGCAGTAGAGATGAAAAATGTGTGGGAAAGCAAAAAAAGGAGTCCACAGGACTCTAGGTAAAGCGTAATGACTCAGACTCTCCAAAAATGGCCTATGGGATACAAGAATCAAAGAGGAAACCACTTACTGCCACCAAATCATACTCTTCAATGGGCCACTGTTGATACAATATGAAAACATCCATTAGACTCTTTTTCACCTATCTAGACACAAGTCCTCTTAACTTTTTTTAATAGACTGTATTTTTACAGGAGTTTTAAGCTCTTAGCAAAACTGAGTGGAAAGTACAGAGTTCCCATTTACATCCTGTCCCCACACATGCACAGACTCCCCTACTATCAACATCCCATGCCAGAGTGGAACATTTGTTTGAATCAATGAACCTATATTGATACATCATTATGACCCAAAGTCCATAGTTTACCTTAGGGTTCACTCTTGGTGTTGTACATTCTATGGGTTTGGACAAATGTATAACAACATATATCCACTATCACAGTATAATACAGAATAGTATCACTGCCCTAAAAATCCTCTATGCTTTGCCTATTCATCCCACCTTCCCCAGACTCCTGGCAAACACTTCCTAACACTTTTTGAACAAGACCAAAATAGACTGGAATGGGCATTTCCAGTCCTAAAGGAAAGATATAACTATAAAGACTACAGTAAAAGTGCTGACCCCTTAGAGATTATATAAATAGCTTCTCTCCATTTATTATGTACAAATTCAGACAGTTGTTTAAAACTATTTGTCAGTATACATTTACTAGGTTACTTTCTAGATTTTTTTATATTGGCAATGGAGTAGCAACTCATTACTCATTACTACAAATATCCATTTGTCCTCTGCTTGGACTAACATCCATACTTTAAAAGTCCAAGTCCAATAAGAATTTAAGAGAACCTAATTTGTTTCCTGTAGTTTTCAAAGAACAAATCTGGACCTTGGACAGTAGCTATTATTTTCCATCCATGCATTTTAACAATACAGCTTATAAACCTGTAAACAAAACATCTTCCAATTTTTGACCCACATTCTCCACACTGCTGTTTTTAAATTACTGGTTGAAGATTTCTCTCCAATTATTCAGAAAATGGGTTCTCTTGAACCATTTAAAAGTTCACGGAAAAAATGAACCATCTCATTGAGAATCTTTGGAGATTTGTGGGAGTTCCAGCTACTTATAACAGGAATAAGTAAGTAATTAACTGTTATTATCCCAATTAAGAGATAGGAAATAAATGTAAAACTTGAGTTGTATTCTATTTTTAGAAACCTAACAAAGAACACACACTTTTCCTTAAGAAAATAAAATTAAAAAATTTTTAAATTAAAAAAGAAAAATATTTCAGGACCTGATTTTATCTTATGGTGTTTTGTCAGTTTCCTCAGACCCTTCAGTTTTGACTGAAACATCATTCCCAAGTATGCTGCAATCTTCCATCAACTCTATCACTTTTTAAATGGTAGGTTTTTATTTTCTGACCCAAAAGAATGATGTGATACAAGATGAGCAATTACCTTTGATTTTTCTTCATTTTCTCTATAAAATTCCGCCATCTGTTCCTCCTGTTCTTCAATAACATCCTTGAGGGTGTCTACCTGGTAGATCAAATTGTTCTTCTCATTGTCTAACTGTGCATTGGAAACCATGGCTTTCTTGTATTTTTCTTCCACTTCAGACAAAGACTCCTAAATGAGAGTCAAAGTCATCAGCCTGATATCTAAAATATGTTCATGGCACATATGCAACATAAGATGAAATTATAGCACTGAAACAAACACATAAAGATGCATTTTAACAAAATACAAGTAGTTTGGGGAACTCCTTGTTTAGCAGCATGCACATAAAACAGAAAGATGATAGTAAGCCATTAATGCCTTTCTAAGAATTATATGTGCTCTCTGCTCCCCAAGAAAACAAAATCAAGCAGCAATGTAGCTTCTGAAAGATGAAAAGATGTGCAGACAACTTATGTTTTTAAGAGTCATAAAATAATCATCAATATTTTCAGAAGTGTTACTCCTACAGTTTTTAACAACAAACTGTTTGGTATTCAGAATGCAGTGATATAACAGAATACAGCCTCTCTTTACACAAGTCAACTTCATACTCATTTGAATTTTGCTACTTCCTCAGAAACATCTGTTTTCAGTACTTTCCAGTTCTGCATAATAACTCTAATGTAAATGTGTAAACGTTTTTTCTAGCAATTATTCAAATTTAGTCATTTTTTTAAAAGTAAGCAATAAAAAAAGAATATTAAAAATGTAAGCAATAAAAAAAGAATATTAAAAAAACAGCTACTATAAAATGCCAGAAATGTATAAACCTCAATTAAATTGTAAATATAATTGCAAACATTCTTATTATAACTATATATAATTTGGTAATTCCTACTGACTAGTGACTATTTTCAAGGTAAAAAGAAAAATGTTTCACATAGAAAAAGTAATCATTTCTAGAAATAACCTCAAAAAATACTAGTGAAAATGTTTAACAAACCAAAATCAATAAAATGGAAATAAGAGTCCTTACATTTATGATCAGTTAATTTTTAACAAAAGTGTCCACATAACTCAAGGGAAAAGAATAAATGATGTTGGGACAACTGGATACCTACATACAAAAGAATGAAGTTGGACTCTTACTTCACACCATACACAAAAATTAACTCAAAATGGACCACAGATCTTAATATAAGAGCTAAAACTATAAAACTCTTCAAAGAAAACATAGGGGTAAGTTTGGTTTCTTACATACAACATCAAAAATAATATCAACCAAAAAAAAAAACCATAGGCTTCACCAAAATTCAAAACTTTCATGCTGCAAACAATGCTATCAAGAAAGTAAAAAGACAACCTGCAGAATGGGAGAAAATATTTTAAATCTAATCTTTGATAAGGGACTTATATCAAGAATATATAAAAAATTCTCACAATTCAACAAGACATACAACTCAATTTTTAAATGGGCAAGAACCTTTCCCAAAGAGGATCCACAAATGGCCAATAAGTGCATGAAAACATGGTCAACAACATTAGTCATTAGTGAAATGCACATCAAAACCACAATGAGATACCACTTCATATCCATTAGGATGGTTATAAACTAAAATCAGAAAGACAGAAACAACATAAGTGTTAGACAGAATGTGGAGAAACTGGATCCCTCATATATTATTGGTGGGAATGTAAAATGGTTCAGCTACTTTGGAAAACAGTTTGGTAGTTTTTCAAAATGTTAACAGAGCGTTACCATATAACCCAGTAATTCTATTCCTAGTTATCTACCCAAGAAAAATGAAAAGATACGTCTATACAAAAACTTACACACAAATGTTCACACCAGCATTATTCATAATAGCCAAAAAAGTGGAAAAAACCCAAATGCTCATCAACTGATGAATGGATAAACAAAATGAGTAAATCCATACAATGGAATATTACTCAGTCATTAAAAAAAATACTGATACATGTTACAACATGGATGAATCCTCAAAATATTACACTAAATGAAAACCTAATTGCAAATGGGGAATGATTGCTAATGGGTAAGGAATTTCTTTTTAGAGTGATGAAAATGTTCTAAAATTGGGTTGTGGTGATGGTTGCACAGCTCTGTGACTATACTAAAAATATTGAGTTCTGTACTTCAAATGGGTAATTTTTTATGGTTTGTGAATTATATCTCAATATAGGTATACACCACGCACAGAGATAATAATGCTTTACAAACCAGAACTGAGTTGACAAGCAAGATTTAAACTAGGATTGGAAACAATTTAACCAAAACAAAGAGAATAAACAAAGTCAATTGTATTAATGGTCAAAATATAGCAGTATCTTAATATAATGCAGAATTTAGAATGATTCTCATCCATCTGAGAGGCTAAAAGTCATCATCACAACTCAGTCCCATATAAAAGGGGGCATAAATGCATGAATACCAGAATCCAAGATAACTCAAGTACTACACACATGGAAAAAATATATAGCACAATAAATCTGACAAAAATTTATGCAATGTAACCTTTCTTTAAACAACAGACCACAAGAGATTATTTTAAGTTTAAATGTCGGGTCGAGCCCGTGGCGCACTCAGGAGAGTGCAGTGCTGGGAGCGCAGCGACGCTCCCGCCGCGGTTCAGATCCTATATAGGAATGGCCAGTGCGCTCACTGGCTGAGCGCGGTGTGGGCGACACTACACCAAGAGTTGTGATCCCCTTACCGGTCACGAAAAAGACAAAAAAAAAAAAAAAAAAAAAAAAAAAAAATTTAAATGTCAAGTAGTTTTAACGATGTTAATCTCACTCATACAGTGATACCCATTTGGAATTAGTTTTACTTAAATGCTTCTAAGGCACTGATTTTCAAAATGTGCATTCCAGACCAGCAGCAACAGCATCACTCGGGAAACTGGGTAAAAACGCAAATTTTCAAACCCATCCCAGATCCACTGACTCAGGAAATCTGGGGGTGAATTTCAGCAATTTGTATTTTTATTTATTTATTTATTTATTTATTTATTATTTTGTTTTTTTGTCCTTTTTGAGACCGGCCGCACCGCGCTCAGCCAGTGAGCGCTGTGAGCGCACCGGTCATCCCTATATAGGATCCAAACCCGCGGCGGGAGTGCCACTTGCGCTCCCAGCGCTGCACTCTCCCGAGTGCGCCACCAGCTCGGCACAGCAATCTGTATTTTTAAAAGGCCCAGGTGTTTCTGATGCACACCAAAGTCCTGAAGCCACTGTGTTAATGTTTATGCTTTGTCTATTCCCTTATACTACTAGAATAAACCTTCATGACCCTGTGACCAAAATCCTCAACTAAATTGTGAACTACTTGAATTTACTTTATTCTCAGTGCCTTGCACAAAGTGGACATTCCATAAAGCAGTCAACTTACACCTGATGGCAAGGCTTACAACCCATAATCTATCAACTGTTCTCTTGACATTTCTTTCTGGGATTACTCAAGTTAAAGCCATTTCTCTCCTTATTCCTACCCTTCTAAAAATTAAAGGCATGGGCAATATTTAAAAAGAAAATTTTCTGGAAAGCCTTAGTTGAACTGGAAACTAATCAATAAAAATGAACCAAGTGCTTATTTCAGACAACTTTTACAAAGACATGTAAGACATTGTTTTTGTCCTCAATGTCTCAAGACCTAGTTGGGTTATTAGCCTATGAAACAATATGAAATTCATTGACATTTCCAAATCTACGAAAAGACTGAGATAGTGAACATAAAACACCTAGCACAGTGCCTAGCACATTCTAAAGAGTCAATAAATATTTTCAATTGTCATTATATATCAAGTGTTAGTAAAGGCAACATATACTTCAAGAGTTTAGGAGAATGAAAGATGATCAATTCAGTCAAGGGAACCTCAAGAAAATGGAGCCTAACCTGTTTCCCACAAAACAAAATCTACCAAAGTTGGGTCTGTTTAGGTTAAATAAAAATTATGTAGAGTACAAGTGGTTGCTAAATAAGCTGGTGACCCTATGGCCTGACTAATCAGGATGCAGAGACTCTGTCTGGTACTAGTAGCCTGTGGAAGGTATATTGAGGTGCACAGATCTTGCCTCAAATTCTCAAGAGGAATTTCTGGATATTACATTTTTAGAAATGTACAGAGTTGATTCCTGGCCTCTGAAAATTTAAAATTTATGGTTTTTACTGTTTTGCTTAAACCCAAAGGTCTTGACATACAGCTATCCGTAATTTGGAGAGGTACAAATTCAAATAATCAGTGCTATGAGGCTGTGCAGAAGTCAGACCTTAGTTAAATAGATAGCCTAATCAACTGTCTAGCAAACCAACACATCTTCAGTACTCATAAATGGAACATGGTACCAGCTACATATACATAGTATTTTCTAAACTTTTTTTTACTTTGCTGATTCACGTGGGTTCTTTGCTAAGTAACTTAAGATTGGTCAGATAGTAAGTAACTGGTGAAGCTAGATTTTTTTAAGAATATTTTTAATAGTTCTGAAATGTTACCTACTGGTTGAAATAACAGCTGCTTTAAAAAATACCTAAGCAAAACATGATAAGATTTTCATTGGGGAAGAAAATAAACAATACAAATAGAGCAAAAGTATTCCTTGACCACACTCCCTCCAGAGACACCAGTACTATCAGTTTGGTGGAGTATCCCTCAGGCCATTTCCTATCCATTTATACACATGTACCTTTTGCTCTGTTTATATTTTCAACATAAATTATATACTCTACATTTTGTTCCATGGCTTGCCTTTTTACAATGTGTCTTAGTGCTTTCAGTCACTAGATATAGACTATGTTCTTTTATTTGCTGCTGTAATTCTATACTAAAATTTAGTAAGGTATTAATTTTAATAGTTTTTAAAATGGGTTTAATCCTTTAATTTATAGAATCATCAAGGATTTTTAGGTCAGTTAAGTTTTTCACTAATATTTTGCTGCATTTTCTTATTGGGTAATAGTACACACTATATAGTAGTATGCCATGTGGCAAATACTGCAATATTAATAAATGATCAACTTTCTTGATTAAAGAAAGTATGGAGGGGAGGATAGGAAAAAGCATCCCAAAAGCAAGCATAATAATAAAAAATGTCATAAGCAATAAACCAACATTTTTCTTTAAAAGGATACATCACACTACCATGCTTGATCCAATAACCAGAGAATTTGTTTATTTTTATGATTTTTCTACCACTTAAGAGTCATTTCAAAGATAAACATAATCTGAAGTCAAGTTCAATTATACACTGGCAAGTGATATTATCTGTTCAAATGTCAAATCTAATCTGTTCTTTTGTATCCTTCAGCGAACGCAATAAATGGTACATCTAAAATATAAGAAAAAAATGTTGATTGCTTTCTTGATACATTGTTACATACGAGACTTTGAGTATATTTGTTTAATGTACTGCATTTGTTCCCTTGGTCCAAGATATTTCCAAAAGTCACATCTCTAAAACTTTAAAGGGGGATTAAATCCTGAAGATTAAAGCAATAAGACTAAATAAAAAGACCAACTGTAATTCTCCTGATGTTTAATGACAACCTTACACTGCTGTATCAGGAGCTTCCAGGCTTTCCTCATGGGCTTCCCATAGGACTTCCCAACCTTTTTAGTCATTAATTTTAACTATGGGTTCCTTATGGACCACACCACCTGCATGAAGGTGTTTGCTGATAGCTGGGCGACTTCAAATCATGCCAGGGAGGATGACGAAAGCTTTGCCCATGAGGTCTATCATGCTTTGTCCTTTGGGCAGATCCTGAGTCACCTTTCTGAATACCTTACTTTTGCTTTTTTAGAGACCTGGTGCATATTTCTATTTCAAAGCTGAATACACATGTGTTCAGAGAAAGCTTTAGTTTCTTCACAATAGTAGGCTTGAACTTTATAACAAAACATGGGGAAAAGAAAAGCATGATAACCAAATGCCATTTACAACCAAAATATCTACTTCACACGTTTATATTGGAAACTGGTAGTCTTCCTTGATGGGAAAACATAAGCCCACTTAAATTTACCTCTGAATTCTTTGTGGCACTATATCTCTGTAATCCTTTTTGACCTACAAGTAAAAAAAATCTAAACAAAAAGAAAATATAGGCTTCAAGTCTTCAGGTTCCTTCCTGCAGAAGGGATATTTATAATAATGCTCTTTCTGTTGTTTCTTCCTCCTGCTTTTAATTTTGACTGAATTTGGTGACAAAAATAGGCAATGCTTTTTCAGTTAGCTTGGAAGAATTTTAAGATCCAATTCTCAATAAAAATATTCTAAGAATGTTTTTTAGGTGTTTGCCAAATTTAATTTTGTATGGCTAAGATACAAGGGACATACAAGTATTTTACAATGTTTAGAAACTGCAAGGTATAATATCTTCTGAATATTCCAAAAAGTATACTAAACATTTATACATAAGCAGAGATTGAAAGTTTGCCTTTCCTATGCATTGCAGGTTAAGCACGTGCTTGAAAGACAAACACTGTTAGTAAAGCTATGTGCAGTGGGTTAATAGAACTTGTGAAACCACCATTACCAACACTTCTGCATACACAGCATGCTTGCGCTGCAGAATGGGACCTGATACCTTTAGTTCTTTAAGCCCCTGCATGTATCTCCCTTCTACATCCTGTATCTGGTCCTTAAGGTCATAGATATCCTGCAGGACATAGGAATGAACCATTGCATAAAACCATGTACAAACATATCTTAAGTCTCAAAGGATTCAGATGAAAATGTAACTTACTTTTATATGTCCCATACTAAAAGCAGAAAAATCAAAGTACAATAATATAACTCCCACTCCAAACCACTGAAAGGAGCAAATAGATCAGGTGATAGTAGGGCTGCTGAAAGGTCCAAAGCAGTCCATCTAGTGTTAAATATTTTCTTGGCATTAAATTCTATTGAAACAGCATTAAATGGGGGCAGGGCTATATATGGAAAAAAGCGATATAAATCATTACATTTTTTAAACATACAATTTTTACAATTTTATAAATCACTTAAATAATTTTTAGCATAATGCTTCACCTAGAACTAGTAAAATACTTCCTAATTGGTTATAAACAGCAAATTTTACTGATTCATGCATTTTAAAAGATATAATAAATGGATATGATCAAAGCTATCTTTCATTGACTTAGTTATTGACCACAATTAATTTGGGAGAAAGGGATAAGGGGAGGGAAATGAAACACGAATATTTTGAACACAACGTCAAATAAGATATTCTATCCCAAGCTTACCATTTAAGTAATAAGAAAAGTATTTGCTTCAAATGTCACCAAAATCCTTCTAAGTAAAGTGAAACAGGCCAAATTTTACATGGAAAATATTGTTTCCCTTGTACCTGATCCTGTTATATAAGGTCTATTCTGCATGCTCAATTTAGGTGGGAAATATCTGCCACGGGGCCCTAAATATAGAACTGTAATTTTGCAATTACAAGCAGGATCAATGATTTAAGGCCAATTACACACATTTTTGGTATTTTCCCTGCCCCCTTCATTTCCTCCCTACTAGGCTTGTCTGACTTTCACTCATTCAACAGACATTTACCAAGGACCTATTAGAAGAAGCCAGGTAGGTGCTAGGATACAAAAATCTCACTTCCTTCAAGGAGGTCATTCTCTCAAGGAAGAAAAACAAGCAGCCAAGTAGCATGACAAGAGCAAGCCAAGTCTAAGGTTCGAAGGCCTTGTCATTTTGACCCACTAGAATGTAGCACCTAAAGGTAAGAGTATATCTTATTCAACTCTGCACCCCCAGCACTTATGACTGGTACAGAGTAAGAGCTCAATAAACACTGTACCTTCAAAGCCATAGCCATGCTGGCCTGGGTCAGCTCTCCTCTGCCCCTGTTACAAACCTTTCCATCCTCTCCTATCCCCAGCCCACTTTCACAAGCATCCCATTTCAGAGGCCAGCCCCCTATTCCTACCCTACCTACAACTTTATTCGGCACCACCCATCCCTACCTCCTCCTCTACTTTGTCAATGACAGGGGACCTCCAGTCTAAGCCCATCCACCTGAGCCCAGAACTCCTCTCTTACCCACTCAGGCCCTTTGCTCCATTATTTATCCTCCCCCTCTCCTTCCTCAGCCTTCAACTTCTCTCTCTACTGACTCAAACCAAGCAATAAAAATAATAATCTACCTCACCTTTAAAAGAAAGCAAAAATCTTCTCTTAATCTTCTCTCTCCCTCTACCTATTGCCCAACCAACTCCCAGCCTCTCATATTCACTTCAGAGCAAGTTTCTTACATTTTCTCCCTTCACAGTTTTGACTTGCTCACCTCATCCTCACTGTTCAACCACAGGGTTACTGCTCTCCTGGCCTCCAATGCTTCCTCTGAACTGTGGTCAAAGTTATCTTTAAGAATGCAAATCAGATCGTACTACTCCCCTTTTTAATATTCCACAGTTGTCAAGGTAAAATTGAATTCCTCTCAGGCTAGCATATAAGATGCTTTGTGATCTGGCTCCTCATTACTTTTCCCGCCTTCTCTCTCTCCCACAACTACTCCTCACTTCTCATCCAACTCTCTGGCAATTCTGCTATGCAGATAACTTTCTGGTTCTCCAAATACATCTCTCTGAGAAAGCCTTCCCCCCATTTCAACTTGAGAGCCTGGTTAATTTCTATTCTTCCTTCAAACCTTAGCTCAGAGTTAATCTTCTCTGAAAAGCCTTTTGTTATCTCTTCTAGTCAAATTTAGATGATGCTTTTCTGAATTAGCCTATTCTTGCTACTACCATAGTATCACACCACCCGGTTTTATTGCTTTGTATCCATTTGTCTTCCCAATGAGACAGAGAGCTCCTGAAGGCTAGAATAGGTTTTGCTGCCTAAATCTCCAGGGCCAACTGCTCAATAAATATCGAACGAATAAATGCAATTTCTCTCACTACCCCTCCCCCATTCCTCAAAAATAGCAGGTTCAGCAAATAGACATTCAAATACAGATGATCCCTGACTTAGGACTTTTTTGTATTTACAATGGTATGAAACTGCCAATGTAATGTACTGTATTCAATACATTGCATAAGATACTCAATACTAAGATTTGCATTAGATAATTTTGCCCAAGTGTAGCCGAATGTAAGTGTTCTGAGCATGTTTAAGGTAGGCTAGGCTAAACTATAATGTTCAGTAAGTTATGTTCATAAACTGCATGTTCAACTTACGATATTTACAATTTACAACGGGTTTATCGGATGTAAGTCCATCATAAGTTGAGGAGTACCTGTATATTTTTAAAGTTCTTATTGTCCAAATTAAAGGGTTATTAATAAGGATGGAGACTCAGCTAACAGTTCAAATAAGCTTTTCATTATCTCAGGTATTTCTGTTACCCAAATGCAACAGAAAAACTGAGATAACTGTATTCAAGCAGCCAAATAATACCATAATGGCTCAAAAGACTAATAATTCCTGCAAGCTGCTTCTTTGTACATCCACATATTTTCCATTTAAAATATGGCCTGTAATTTCTGAAAAAACTACTTTACATACATTACAAAGTTGTTCTGTCATTTGTGAATTAGCAGAACTCATTCTAATACCACCGAACTTTCAGGAAACAGAACAGAAAAAAGAACGTCTTCTCCCTTTTAGACTCTGAAACATCCAACTAACATTTTTGAACGGTTACTAACAATTTGTCTTTCTACTAAGTCACATTAAATGTTAAAAGTTCCAGTATACTACAAAGAAGCCAAAAGACTGTTTTTAAAAAGCAAACCAAAATCTGTGGTTTACCCGCAATTCACTTAATGAGGTGTCTGGATCTATTAAGCTGCTGGTGTCCCCACTTCCTCGTCTAGATGAGTTTCCACTTAGAGGGGTTGTTGCTGAGGCAGAATTTCGAGATGAAGGCTAGAGAGAAAGAAATATGACACTTTTAAAGCTTGTTTCTTCAAAAATATGTTTGCTGTGGAAACTAAAAACAGGCAGGGTGGTAAGGGTAGATGTGGGCTTCAGAGGGATATACTAATATAGTGTGGTCAAGAAGTTACCAAGTGCAATTGATGGACAATTCCGATTGGCTTTGGCAGAGGAAGTATCCAAAGAAGGACCCAGGCATAATACTAAGCATAATTTTTAAACTCAAACACCTTATCATAACCTAGAATTCATACTAACCAAGAAGGAAATAGTTTTTATGGAAGTTGTTATATTCTAAGTTTATCTTTGCTATATTGCAAACAACACTGGGATAAGCACATCAGATTAATTTAAAGCAATTTTAGAACTTTATAAGTGGTATGCTAATTAGCACTTCCCCTACTTTAGTTCCTGAAACTGCTCCTTAATACTTTGTTGATAAAGATGTAGATACTATTTGCAGCTCAGAGCAACAACACTGTGCATCTCTATGAATTTAGATTATTCTTCCAAAATTAGTTTAAATGTGAGATTATGCTATTGATTAATAAAAGGCACAGATCTGTGCTGTCCAATATACTAGCCATTAGCCACATGTGGCAACTGAGCACTTGAAATGTCCAAATTGAGACTTAAGTGTAAAATACATAGCAGAGTTAGAAGGCATAGTAGGGGAAAAAGACTGAAAGATTTCTCAATAATTTTTCAAGCCAGCCAGTTAGCTCAGTTGGTTACAGTGCAGCCTTGTAACACCAAGGTCAAGGGTTCAGATCGCCAAACTGGCCAGCCTCCAAAAAAAAAGTCAAAAAATAAAAATAAAAAATAAATAATAATTTTTCATATTGACTATATGTTGAAATATTTTGGATATTTGGGTTAAATAAAATTTATTTCTCAAATTAATTTTACCTTTTTCTTTTTTACTTTTTTAATGTGACTACCAGAAAATTTCAAATTACATATATGCTTACATTTGTGGCTTGTGTTATATTTCTATTGGACAAAGCCAATCTTTATTTCTTAGGTATAGCATAAAATCAATCCTGATAAATCATTTCCCTACCTGACTTCCTAAAAACACTTTCAGAAGAAAGTTAGAGACTTTAACACAAAGCAACTCTTAGAAAGGAGTTATTTTACTTGAGGAAATAATTTACCTATGAAGAACAGAAAAGAAAACCCTGTTTGTCACTACTTGCTATGGTTTGAATGTCCTCCAAAGTTTATCTGTTGGAAATTTAATCCCCAATGCAACAATGTTGAGAGGTGGGACCTTTAAGAGATTATTAGGTCATGAGGGCTCTACTGTCATGAATGCATTGATGTTATTTCAGGAGTGAGTTTGTTATCTTGAGAGTGGGTTTTCTATAAAAGAGAGTTCGGCCTTCTTTTTCTCTCTCTCCATGTGATGCCTTCAGACATTTCACGACGCAGTAAGTCACCAGATGTGGCCCCTCCATCTTTGACTTCCCAGCCTCTAGAACTATGAGCCAAATAAACTTCTATTGCTTATAAATTACCCAGTCTGTCTGTTACAGCAGCACAAAACAGACTAAAATACCACCACTCCTAAAAACACCTCATTTTTAATGTTTAATGGCTTCTCAGGATCAACTTCTAGAGGAATGAAAATCAAAAAAAGCAGCCAAAAGCTTGAGATGACATTCAAGGAAATAAAATACAGTTATCTTTTCTCTTCACAGGGATTCACATGATTTAACTTCAGAGGAATTTTAGGAGGCCAAGGACAGGAAATAGACGAGAGGAGGAAGAGTTAGCTCCACCAGACCAACTGTTGTAAAACAGAGGATGAACGAGCTGTAGAAAGGAAGTTTAATTGACCTTGAAAACTTAATTCCCTTAGGTATATATATATATACTTACTTACCCTTGTGTAATTTTCAGCATATTGTTTGTCAGATTTTTCATCCAACTAGGAAAGAACAGAGATAAAACTCAGGAAAGATGCTGATTTTTTTAGAGAAAAAAAAGAAGTGATCATATTTGAGTTCTCCAAGTTCAATGATGTTTGGAACCTAAAAGTAAACATATCAAAACTGAAATAACTGTTAAGAAACATAAGACAAAATGTCAAGAACTTTAATTCTTATCCTAAGGAAGACATGGAATAATCAAGCTGTGTTTACTCAAAAGTTTGGAACTTTTAGAAAGATTTTCTTTTCATGGTATTTAAACCACATTAAAGAAACTACATATAAAGTTAAGTTTTTGTATTGCAAATGTTAATACAAAAAAACCTTGTATATATCAAAAGGAAAAGTCAGATAAAACCAAAAGCCAAAACACTTTATTTCTAAACATTATTAGGACACAGGGCACATAGATAAGACTAGTACATTTAGCCTAAAAAGGTTCAGATTGGACTAAAGCATGTTAAATATATCATCAAAATATGTTTTCCCCACATCATTAAGAATTTTGGGGGGTTTTGTTTGTTTAAGTAATACATGCACATGTGGCACCAAAAAAAAAAAATTCAAACAGCACAAAAGGTTATCAGAAGTAGGCCTCTCTCCCTACCATACCAGACTCTGATCTCCAATCTCCAGAAACAACCAACTCCCAAGTCCTTAAAAAATTCTAATAATAGTGTTCCACATACATTCTGTATCTACTTTTTCCTCTTATCAAGTCTCAGCGATTTGAGGAAGTACTTCATTTTTCTTCATAGCATTTGTCACTCCCTGGCACTATGATATGTACCCATTTATTTATTATCTGATCTTTCTCTATATTGTAAGCTCTATGTCTGCATGTTCTTTTTTCTATTCCTAATACCAAGAATAGTGCCTGGCACACAGAAAGACTAAAAACTTGTTGGATTAATGAATAAATAAATCATGTCCCATCTGTACTCATTTTATTTTTATTTTTTGGCAGCTGGCTGGTATGGGGATCCAAACCCTTGAATAGCTTCATAGTAGCCTATTATTTCGACATACCATAATTGATTTACCTATCTTCTGGTAATAGGCCTAAAGGTTGTTTCAGACAATGTTTCAAGAAGGGAGGTACCTTAAAGGTCTATTCCAAAACCTGAATTTATAGCTAAGGAAAAAACAAATTCAGAGTGGAAAGATTTTGCTCACGGTTGAACTACTACGAAATGTCAGAGCTTAATCCAAACCTCAGATTTACGAATTTTAATTCCAGTGTTCATATTACTTACCTGCATATACTATCCCAAGTAACACTAGGGGGGAAAAGTCACATAAGCATTTAACTAAATGAAAATATACCCAGACTCCAATTCCTAGATCAACCTTCCCAACCCAAACTAGAGAAGAGGTTTGAAAACCTTCCTCGGTTAATTATTACAACATGAAACATCATTATTTCTAGCAATACTTAGATCACTTCACTCTAACTTCCTCATATTTAAAAGATTTTACTGTTTTTTTTAATTACCCACATCATCATGTTTATAAACACCTTTTATTATAATTACTTTATAAGTAATAAATATTTTGAGATATTTAACTTTTTCCTACTTCTTGGTGTAATAATCTAAAAAAGAAATTGATTTTAATTCATTTTGATTTTTTTAAAAGAACATATGGAATGCTTTAAAACAGGCAATGCAGTGGTTGAAATTTGTGCTTCAGTATTGCCAATTATTGCCATAAAAAGGAATAATCCTCCATCACATCTGTACTAGTAAAATGCACTGCCTAATATTTAATGTGTTATTCCTCAAGGTGAAAGAAATATTATATTTGAATAAACTACCTTATTTTCCTCCAAGTATTTTCTAACTCTTTTCTGGTAATGAATTAAAGAGAAAAGCAAGTAGCACTCAAAATTAAAACATTCTTCTAAGTCTATATGAAATCCTTCCTCACGTCCATCTCTCACAAAAATGACCCCCAAGCCCACCCATTTTTTAATAGACTGTCACCGTGGAATAATCTTACATTTCAGAGGTTGCATCGCTGAACTAGTCCATCGCAGTGTCGATTCTATCACTTTCACTATCTTCTGACAGATCTCAATTGTCGCAACTCTGACAGATCTCAATTGTCGCAACGCAAACTGATCATGCGCCAAACCTCAGGGATTGTTAAGCCAGCAAAAAATGCCCAGAGCAGTCACACCACAGTCCAGTTATTTTGTCTGCAGTGACTTGGCCAGAGACTCTTGAGCACTCACTTCTGAGACTTCTGCTGTATCATGTGCTGTCCTCCATTTAGACAAAAAAGCTAGTTGAAATCTAGTATCCTAAAAGCCCCAAGGGATTTAATAGCCAGGAGATCTATGTAACTGCATTGCAAAGACAAGCTGATGTTCATAATGATGACCCAAAGAGTCTGCCAGATGCAGGGGGGGAGCCTGAAAAGGCTCTTTAAATGAAATAAAGTTTAATCATGTTTAATATACTGTTATAAAACTGTAGCCTAATAAAGTATTTATAGTGTCATTTGTTCAATGTAGTCCCTGGATCCTAATCCTCTGTTAACTTCTAATTCATATATATTGACTTGATAATGCTATTAAAAAATTGGGGAAAGGGCCGGCCCGGTGGCGCACTGCTACAGTGCGCTGCTTGGGAAGCGCGGCGGCGCTCCCGCCGAGGGTTCGGATCCCACATACGGACCGGCCGCTCACTGGCTGAGCGAGGTGCGGGAGCAACACCGAGGGTTGCGATCCCGTTGCTGGTCCCGGTCCGGTACGGGCGCGACACTGAGGGTTGCGATCCGTTGCCGGTCACGAAAAAAGACAAAAAGGAAAAAAAAAAAAAAAAAGGAAATTAGGGTACAAATTCCTTGAGTCACAGACAGCAATTAAAAATTAAAAATAGAATTCCTACCACTGACTCCCCGGGGCAGTTGCTCCAGGTTTTCTTTCTTAGAACTGTGCACTGTTACTTCACTCAATCATTTTCCAAAACTGCTCTGACTCGCAGTGATGTTGGTTTTATTTCCAGACTGGGTAAGACTCTGTAGCTGATCCCACTGCTTTGCCCTGCCCATTGGAGTGCAAAAAAATTGAAGAAAGAAAAAGATCTGATTCTCCAACCTCAGAAGGGAAGAGAATAACCAATTCTAATAATTTCCTAAAGCAAAATGGCTGAGGTTTCCATGCAGAAATGGGCTTAATTGCTAACAATCAGCAAAATTTAAGTTAGCACATTTACATTCTTTTCCTTTAGTCTAGTTTAACCTACAGAACAGAAATGAAGCCAATGCAGAAGAAAATAAGATAAGAAGCTAGAGCTACCATAAATATTGTATAGTTTTGTAGAATCAGAGCATGGCCCTTCTTCAGCACCTCCTAGCTTGGAAGTAATAAACTATCAGCCTGAAAAACATATATTTGGTCCACAAAGAGCCAGAAAGTATCTTTTAAATTATTGAATTCATTGTCAGCATTTTAAAACCAGAATATTTCACATGAAAATGCAGATTTACAGCTAAACTTAAAAAAAAAAAAAAAAAAAGTGTGGGGTAAGGGTGGATCTACCAACATCAAGTCCCCTTTTTGTCTATAACAAGCTAAATTATAGCATACCCTTTTTTTTGTTTGTTTGTTTGTTTGTTTGTCTTTTTTCGTGGGATCCGAACCCTCGGCGGGAGCGCCGCCGCGCTCCCAAGCGGCGCACTGTAGCAGTGCGCCACCAGGCCGGCCCTAGCATACCCTTTTTTAAAAATACTATTACAGAAAGTATTTTTTCTCTAGAGAGGGGACCAACAAGTATTTTAGGTTTTGCCAACAGGCAAAATCAAGATTTTATAGGTACTCATATAACTATTTAAAATGTAAAAACCAGTGGCTTGCAGGCTGTAAAAAACAGGGGGCTAGTGGAATTTGCAAACCCCTGCTCTGAAGAATCTTTTGCTTACATTAAAGAGTTATATGAAGGGTCTTTAAAAAGATCATGGAAAGATGCATATTATCTTTCAATTTCATTTTCCCACGAACTTTTTGAAGTACCCTTGTATTTAATTAGTAGAGGTGGAGGAGATTTTAAAAACTGTCATCCTTTTCACTTCTATGTAGTCACTAAAGTATATCACCAAGAAATAAATGTAAGGAGTATATAATCACTTATTCAAACATCACAAATTAGAGGCCAACAGAATTTGAAGTTTTTAAGAGAACAGGTATACACAATAAATTTAATTGTCTATACGTATGGGAAATAAGTGGTTACTAAGCAATTTAACAAAATAGGTAATATTTCAGGGGAATGACTTGGGAGCCAGTCTTTGAACTACGTAGAAAACAAAGTCCTTAAGGCTGACAGAGTCCTTGATTCAACCTATAGCAAGATGATACTGTTGCACAGCCAGATCTGAGCACCAATTACCTAAAATACTTAAGGACCACACTTAAAATTATTTTCTAAGATAAAAACAGTTCAAAAATAGCTTTTAAATACCATCAGTAAGGTTCTTATTATAAATAATTATCTCTTAAAAATGAACGTCTAACTTTTCTATTAGGAAATGCTGCCCCTCGTAACCTTCAAAGTACTTGAAAATCAGGACAGCATTTGTCCATGGGCAAAACAACACTACTGCCAGCAACAGAAGGAAGGTGTCAGAGAGAGAAAATCAGGCTGTTAATATGAGATCAGCAGGTAGATCCTAAAACCTGGCTAGGTTTCCTTCATTAAGACAATGCCCCAAGGTATCTCTGCTGGACAATCTTTCCTAAATTCAGTTCCCAGTGAATGTGAAAATAATAATGACTAGGCACACTTTTTCAAAACACTGCCATAATCCAAATGTCTAAAATCTATTCAGATCCTTCCCAGTTACTATAAATTAGTGCCACTTTACTAGGTAGTATATTTTATTATTCAACTTTGAAAGTCTACCTATAACTTTATAGATTCAACAAAACAAAAGGGAAAAGGAAATTCAACACCAATCAGGAATATCTAAACATGGGCTAGATATTAGATGGCATTAAGGAAATACTTTTTAAAATTTCATTAGGTATAATAAGCAGATCTGAAAATTTTTCAGAGATGTATATTGAACTATTAATTAGGAAATGACATAATGTGTGGGATTCGCTTTAAAATAATTCAGGAAAAAAAGTAGGGGAAGGGAAAGAAGTAGATAAAACAAAATTGGCAAAATATGGATAACTGTTGGAGCTGGTGGTGGGTTCTATGGGGAAAATTTTCCATACAGGGATAAAAGCATTTTTAAAAGAAAGTATATATTAATAAGTACATTCCCAAAACAAAATCAAAAAATACTGCATTTTCTGTTAGTATCTTCAAATAAGTATTTCCCAGAAAGTAAATTAAGCCCCTAATTTTAAAATAGCTAATGTATTAGCTGTTAGTCACAAGCCTGAGACAACATAACCACCCCATGCAATACACTCACGCTGTTCAAATCTGGGATACTGACGTCATCCACCTCAGAGACAACACTCCCCCTACGATTGGAGCGACTAAAATAATCAGCAGCAGAAACCTTTCGGTCAAAAAAATGAGAAGTTTTAAAAGTTAAGAAAATGGAGAAGTTAAGAACATTGGCCAATGGGGGAAATTTTTTTTTTTTAATTTTGCTGTATTATGATAAAGTATCATGAAATGAAATGAGGAAATTGCTGCAATTAACCTACTCAAAAAAGTAAAAAAAAAAAAAAAAAAGTAAAGGGATTCCTAAATGAAATCACAGCTCCCTAAAATAAGCTGTTATTCATCATAATTAGAGTTCTATGCTACAGAGAGATTATTTGCTTCCTGTTTGCTGGAAAATCTGTCATATTTAAGACATTTATCACCCTCGACAGGGGATTTCTAGAATAGTAACTACCTAAAGCCTCTACTGTATTTCCCAAAATTTATAATTCATTATTGCTACCAACTAAATTTGAGTAAAATGTTCATTTTATCAAATGCCAAATTTTACTTTTCTATAGATTTCACATGATCATACATTGTTGTCATTTTAAAACATATTGTATTTGTTTGCATGCAAACCACGCTCACCACACTCTCCCTTCGCCCGTGACTGGCACGATCAGAAGACACAATGCTCGTGGTATCATCATCAGTAAACTATAGATATTAAATGCAGATAATGAAAAAGACGCAATTTCACTACAGATCTTACCTGATTGTGAGCACATTGGGGAAAGTTTTAAAAAGCATACAAATACTCTTATATAAGCATTATAACTGGCACAATATATAGTACACCATTACATAGAAAAGCTGTTACAAGATACAATAAACTGTCATTAAAAATCAAAATATAGTTCCAAGGGCCGGCCCGGTGGCGCACTGCTGTAGTGCGCTGCTTGGGAAGTGCGGCGGCGCTCCCGCCGAGGGTTTGGATCCCACATACAGACCGGTTCCCGCTCACTGGCTGAGCGGGGTGCGGGAGCAACGCCGAGGGTTGCGATCCCGTTGCCGGTCCCGGTCCAGTACGGGGGCAACACTGAGGGTTGCGATCCGTTGCCGGACACGGAAAAAGACAAAAAGAAAAAAAAGAAAAAAAAGAAAAAAAAAAAAAGATAGTTCCAAAAAGCACAAAGAATAAAGTAGAACCTTATCTCTTACTTAAGCTAAATTAAAGAAGGGGGGCTTGAGTAAACTAGATAAAACCAGTTAGGGATTTCATGCCTCCAGGCCCTTTGGGATCCCATATCAATAAATATACTAGAAGTTTTAGTTTGGGAGAGAAAATAAAGAATATTTTAAAGTGAAATAAATACAAGTCAAAGACAGAATTTCCTACCAGCAAGGACACTGAGGTGATGGTTCTTATTTTCTTTTATCCATTCCAATGCAACAAGTGGAGATGTGTCTAACATCACCCTACATGGGGCAGTCTCTCTTCCACTTCACCAGCAGAAGACTCATCTTCAGTACATGCAATTTGTCTCCATTCTGACATCACTAACCATTCTGGCATCACTAAGATAATAACTTTGAACTCAACTTGCAAATGAAATAGGATCTAGCCAGTCCATGAGGACAAGGTCCTACACTTGCTTAAAAATACACTATCAAATTTTATTTGCAAAGAGCTATCACACTTGGGACATTAAAAATACCACCAGGCCCAAGAATTGCATTCCACAAAGTAATTTTTGATAACCATTAAAAAACTACTTTAAGGGCCGGCCCGGTGGCGCACTGGAGAGTGCACTGCTTGGGAGTGCGGTGGCGCCCCCGCTGAGGGTTCGGATCCCATGTGGAGACCGGTTCTCGCTCACTGGCTGAGCGCGCTGCGGGCGCAACACTGAGGGTTGCGATCCCGTTGCCGGTCCCCGGTACGGGCGTGACACTGAGGGTTGCAATCCCGTTACCGGTCAGTAAAAAAAAGACAAAAAGGAAAAAAAAAAAAAAAACTACTTTAATAATTTCTCCAGTTTTGACATTGTCAAAGATAACAAGGTAGTTCCTAAAGTCTTCATTTGCCATTAGAAATGTAAATTAGTAGTCTTTTCGGTGTGCAGTATGGTAATATACATCATAATTTAAATGCATAACTCTGATCTCATCACTTTCATGAATTGCAATTTACCTTGTAGATTTACTCATATAAGTGCACAAAAATATATTTGGATAACAATGTTCATTGTATTCTGTAGCAGCAACAATCTGACAACCTAAATGTCCATCAATAGGGGAATGATTTTTAAAATGTATAGCTAGGCATTAATGAAATAATATATTGACATTAAAAAGAATGTGCTGATATGAAACTATCTCCAAGCGGCATTAAGTGGAAAATGTAAAAGACGTGATTTACTTGTTAAAAAAAATTAATTTTTTTAATGTCAAAAGAAGAATGAAATAAATCTGAATGTACCAATACAGAAAGATACTTTAAGTAAAGAAAACATATTGAGGAGCAGTATGTACATGAACCCATTTGGGCTCAAAATAAAGAATACTTATATATGCATAAAATAGCTCTGAAAAGACATATGAAAACAGAGGTTCATTTGGATAATGGAAATGGAGAGGGAGGGGTCTAGAGACTTTTACTTTGGACTTCCCTTAACTAATAGTATTTTTTTTTCCCTTTTTTTTTTTTTGTCTTTTTTCGTGTCCGGCAACGGATCGCAACCCTCAGTGTCGCACCCGTACCGGACTGGGACCGGCAACGGGATCGCAACCCTCGGCACTGTGCCCGCACCTCGCTCAGCCAGTGAGCGGGAACCGGTCTGTATGTGGGATCCGAACCCTCGGCGGGAGCGCCGCCGCACTCCCAAGCGGCGCACTGTAGCAGTGCGCCACCGGGCCGGCCCAACTAATAGTATTTTTATAAATTGAAAAAAGGTCTTAAAACTCCAGAGAGATCAGGTAATCAGAATTGTCCCAGTTTTGTCTTCTCTACAACAACTTTTAAAAGTTGGCTCTTTTTATTTCTTCTCCTTCCACTCCACTGATAAAAGTGCTGGTAAGCAAGTGAAATGGCAGAACACAGGAAGTAAAGATGGAAAGTAAAAACATAGGGTGGCCACCCCATACACTGAATTATTACCCCTGAAAAGACAAGAAGTTTAACACAAATGACAATTAAATATAAAAATTTAAATTTCTAATGGTATTGGTTCCAGACTCATTTAAAAAATTATGTGCTAAGTCATATTCATACAGAAACCACCAATTAGGGCAAATTAGTGCTAGTTTGTGTACTGAGGTATCACCGTAATCCATGCACAAGAGAGTGAAATACACTACATCCTCAATATTCTAAACTGTGAGTACAGGTTAATGAAACAACCAAAAGTTTCTATAAAGCATGCAAAGAGACTAGATAGCTTACCGCAGGACTGCTTCGGCCTGAACTTGTTCTTAATGAGTAATAACTGTATTCAGATGGCTATAATGTTTTCAAGAAGAAAGGTTTTACAACCATGGTCAGATCCTTTTTCTGCTAGGAATACATTAGTGACCCTAGACCTAACCTTCCCCAGAGGGGTTCCTTGTCTGGAACTCCATCTCACTTGTACCCTCAAGATCCACCAGCCCATAGCAGGAGGGAGAGGAGAGAAAGAAGATGCCCTGAGAAGCACTGCTCAGAACTTCAGGAGGAACTAATGAGCAAGAAAAAAAGATTCTCTACTTATTCCCCTCAAATTTTAAGCATGATTTCCAGCAGGCATTTAGATGAGAGTCCCAACTGGCTAGCTGAACGAATGAATCACAGCTTGTAGAGTATTACAGGTCAGATTAAATGACTTTTTACTATTAAGTAAACTGTGCCCACTTAGACCTCCCCCCTCTTCACCACCTCCCCTTTTAGACTTACAGTTCGAGAACCATAAGGGTTATATAATCCACCATCGTACAATGACGCCTAAAGAACAAAGGAAATACCATTTATCTATTTAGCATCAAAGTTATTTCAATAATGTCTTCACTTTTTACAGTACTCAGTTCCAAAAAAGTTTTGAAGAACGGTTAAGTGTATAGCCTCCCAAAGTGAAGTCTCTAAAGGTGATACAACTTATTTATACACATAAATTTCTGTATCAGTCTCATTATAACTTCAAGCTTACACATCATTAAAAAAAAAACCACTAGTTACAGTATTTTCTTTCACCATAACATTATAAAACAAGGAGAATTAATATTTGTTAATTTATTCTCTCAAATGACAAATTAAAGCAGAAAAGAAAACTGAAGTACAGAAGCATTTTGCCCACTGTCACAATAAAATTAAGTTATAAAACCTCTGTGTTCCAGTCCACTAGAACAGGCCATAACACAAAAAACAGCAACTTGAAAGTAACCACCTCACAGCTTGCACATTACACAAAACTATGGCTTTTGTTTTTCTAGTCAGCTTGCTTTATTAGACCCTGGTATCAATGTGGCCACGGTCATAGCTGTCCCCCCAAAATAAATAACATCCCTTGCATGGGCAGACATCTGACAAAAGAATATGTGTGGTGGGACCCATGCAAACCTATCTTCTCTACAGGAAACTGATTTTAAACAACGGTTACCAACAGCCAGCAGTATCTATCTCTACGAAGAGAATATGCTTAATTTTAACACCCTAAAGTTTTGTATTTAAACACAGGCAGTACATTCTGCAACATGCCTGGCATTAAAGCCATGTGTCCTTGACTATTTTGGAGGAAAGCAGTCAAGCCACAGAGTTAGCACCATGACAGTGGCCTCACCAGCAATGCACACACTGGAAGAGGAAAATACAAACCAGACTGGCACTTCTCAGCAGACCAGAATTTGCAGTAGGGGAGGCCTATGAAAAAAGTGCATTATTAAACCCAAAGAAAAGGAACTGATGGTTCTAAAGGCAACACACTCCTCAGAAAGTACTAACCCTGATACTCTTAGATGTAGCCAGAGGATCACTGCACAAGGAAGAAGACTGCTAAGAAACAAAAACAAAAAACAATAAATAAGAAAAAACAAAAAGAAGAATTGTTCTCACCATCATGACAGCAAAAGACAAGTTTACGATATTTTTATGATTTTATACTTCATTATTCATTAGCAATTCCTAATGCTAATGGTAGTTAAGAAACACATGAAGTTTAAAAAAAAAAAATTTATGTCATTAGAAACCTGTTTGAATACCAGTTGTAAGGCATAAAAAAGAAAAACACTTGGAACAGTTTCCTATAAATGTGTTCATGTCCTATTGGTCTTTGAACATTATTCTTAGGAAATGGGATGGCAACCTAAGAAAACACTGAGTAAAACAGTACCATGGCACAAGTGTGGCAAACAGTGGCCACATCCCAGTCACCAGCATCTCCTGTGATATTGTCAGTGATTCCATGAAAGACTCCTAATGGGCTCAGATTGGTTACTGGGAAACCAGAAAAATGAGCACCGAGTTAGAGCTACAACACTCTTTTCCAAATAGATTAGAAAGCCTGTATTTTAAAACAAGTCATGGACAAAGTGCCTTAATCAGATAAATTGTACCAGGCAAAATGAATCCATGCACTAAAAAGGCACAGCACTTTTTAGAAAAGAATTAAATCTTTCTTTTCTGATGTCATCTGAATTATTTTAAATGTACCATATGCCATACATTTAATGTGTGTTTTAAATGTATGATGTATCAAATGCCTTGAAAAAACAAAACATTCTAACACAAAACAAAGAATGACATTCTTCTCATCCCATGTGTAGTTCAGATTTTCATGTGTGAGCTTTCTAAAATGGTACATTGAAGTGTACTTTTGTCTACAACTTATTCTGAAATGCATCAAAAAATAAGATGGATTGATGAATGGACAGAGAGATGAATAGACAATTCTGTGATAAAGAAAATAAAATAAACTGTATAATCTAAATGGTAGTTATGTAGTGTTCTCTATATAATTCTTTGAACTTTTTTGTATGTTTGAAATTTTTCATTAAAAACAAACTGAAAAAAATTGTATTCATTTACAAACATGGTGATTTAACAGTTCTCACTGTTTAAAGACACACACACACACACAGAGTATGAATTCTGTTACCAAAAATTAGTATATACATAGCCATTTACATACTATTTATAATTAGTCAAAATGCAAAATGGGAGATTAGAATTATGTTAAAGGTGGATAAAATACATGAACCCAAAACAACTTTAGACAAACCCGAGTGTAGTAGGAAGAGATAGGTTTGCTATGTCTAAGACTGCTATAGTTTCTCTGGTCAAAGTAGAGGCCACTCTGCAAAAAGCAAAATTAAGCACATTTTTCTTAGGCTAAATGTTGCTAACCTAACAACATACAAAGACAAAATTTAAACACACAAAGGCAAAATCGGATATTGTCAAACCCCTTCTCCTCTAAAACAATGTCTTTAAAGCACGGGATCATTAAGTAAATGCCAAGGTAACAATTATTTCAGGTCTCTCAAAAAAGAATGGTATTAAAATTTAACTGTTTTCAAATGAAGTCATAACTAATTTTTTTACTTTAAAAACAAGACAATAAACCCTCAGACACAATGGAATGGAAAAAAGTAATTTATTTTCATGTCATACTTAAGAATGTCCTTTAAAAATCCAGAACAACTGAATAATTACCACTTTTACAATACATTTGGCAAAGCCACAGCAATGATTAAAGAGTTATTTGGTTCCAAATTTTTCCTGGTCCCAATATTTGTCAAAACAAACTGATCAAATTAATTAATGAAAAAGAGAGAAGAGTGCACTAAATATGGTTTGGTCTAAAACTTCTATGACAGGGTCATTTTCAATAAACTACACAAAACAAACAGTAATTTTATACTCTGTGGTTTCTTGAGGGAGAGAAAATCATTGATAAAATTCCCTTTCCAACTTCTCTAGCCATTTTTTGCTCAAGTTTAAGCAAATTTAGGCAATCTCTGACTTAAAGACTCCTTCCCCACTGCTGATGCTGCAATCAGGGACACCCCTACTCCTACCCCACCACTCCTGGCTCTGCCTTCCTGCACCACTCCCCACTCACACCCTCAACTAGGCACCATGACTCACCCCTCCCCAGCTCCCAATACCCACCCTCCAAAGCCACTGGCTAATGTCCTCTCCATTACATTCTCCCTTTCCTCCTCCCTTCTACCAGCCAAAGCCTCTCAATCCTCTCCCCACCCCTCCCATGGGAACCCTGAATTAGCAGGGAGCTTGGGACTACACTTCCTTTGCCAGTATAGTAGTCCCCCCTTATCTGCAGAGGATACATTCCAAGAACACCCAGTGGATTCCTGAAATCAAGGATAATACCAAACTCTATATATATACTGTTTTTTCCTACACATACATACCTATGACAAAGATTAATTTATAAACCAGGCATGGTACCAGATTAACAACAATAACTAATAATAAAATAGAGCAATTATAACAATATTCTATTCACAATTTCACGGACAGAAAATTCATTCTCACCATAGATCTCAGTATCTTCAACATACAATTTTTTTTCTTTCCTTATTAAGTTGAGAACTTTTACCTTTTCATTTAAAAGAAGCACTTTATGGCTTCTCTTTGGCATATCTGAATTACCTTCATCACTACTCTTGTGCTTTGGGGCCATTAAGTAAAATAAGGGTTCATTAAACAGAAGCACTGTGATAATGCTGATACTAGGGACAGGTAGCATCTACAGTGTAGATACGCTGGACAAAGGGATGCTTTACATCCAGAGCAGGATGGAGTGGAACAATGCAAGATTTCATCATGCTATGCAGAATGGCAAGCAATTTAAATGTATGAATTGTTTATTTCTGGAACTGTCCATTTAATATTTTCAGACTGCAGTTGACCACAGATAACTGAAACTGAAAAGCAAAACCAGACATAAGGGCGGACTAGTGTACTATGGCAGGCTAACAGGAAAGAACTGTTCTAGTGCCCAAAGTGGCTTTCAAGAGACATTTTTTCCCCAGAGGGAAAAAACAAAAATATTTAGCAAGGTATGAAGCAAGGTGGATGGAATGGAGAGCATATCAGTTCCTCAGTTTAATTACATTATGGGTTAAAGAGTTTTCTGCAAGCTAGCATGGGAACTCTGACATTACATACTTTATTGTTTCTACAAAAAAATACATTCCAAGTTCCCAACAAACTTTCAGAATGAAACCTATCTAAGAGTTTGGTACTGCCCATAACACAACTAAATCAATTCAAATATCTAAAATAAGGACAAGAATCTCAAGGTATATTCTCAAGGACAGTTCATAAATGAAAATATCTTATTAATGAGATTCCTGTGATATCTTACTAATTCTAGCATGTTAACTTGATATTAAATGTTATAAGTAAAACAAAATTATTATTAATTATTTTAATAAGGTTCTGATAAATCATGTTTCAGCATACTATCAAGTTCCAATAATGTCTGAGGAACACAATAAAGCAGTGATAATTTGTAAGTTCTCTAAGAGTAATCAGTGAATTATAATACAAGACACAATAGAACTAACCAGTAGGTCTTTATGAGAACCAGAAGATCTCTTCTTCATTCCATAAGAGTGACTATAAGAATGATTCTGGAAGTAAATATTTTAAGTTAACTTTAATAATCACATAGTAAAGTTTTAAAAATTACATAAAATTCATGTTAAAATTATACACGCAAGGGTCTGTATGAGATACAGTCTATGCGCAGTCTGTTTCCCATCTGTTAGTAAATGATTAACTGCACTTGACTGGCTAAGATATGTGGCCTTTCTACACATCTGTACTCCCCCTCTCCTCCTCCTGTTCCCAGCATCCAGCTCAATGTTTGGCCAGCTTAAAACAAAATTGATTAAGTCTTAGAGCCAGGCAGCATATTTGTGAGGACCTTTACCCCACACTTCATTTGAGTCTCTCTATCTTCTTTACAAAAGTATAGG